ATCCCTGTCATTGCCTACGGTGTTAAGCTTACTTTTCATTCATCCGTTTTTCAGTCAGTCCGTTGATCCGGGAGTATTCCTATTGGTCCAATATTTTGGCGCCAAAATATTGGACCAATAGGAATACTTCCGGATCAACGGACGCATGAAAAGTAAGCTTAACTGGTGAGCCCGTTTTACAATATCGGAGGTCCCATTTTATATGCTCACGACTGTATATTTTATATTCTAAACTGCGGCCGCTGGCGCAAACAGCTAACGGCACCGTTGGTGAGGTCAGCAACGGTGCAAATTTCTATTGGCCAGTTTCTCAATAGTGAGTCACACAGGGCCGGCTCCAGGACCCGTGCAGCCTGTGCCCCTGCACGGGGCGGCAAAATCGAAGGGCGGCAAAAATCTCGGGGAGAATAGTTGGGCAAAAGAAACCACACTACAAAAAAGTCTTTATGATATATTTCATCAATTATCGCTGTCGCCTGCTCTGTAAAAAAATAATACATAATATGTCTGGGTTTTTTCGAACTCTGATCAATTCCAAACGATCTGCGCACAGTTCTAATGACTGAATAAGTACGCAACTAGTCCTGCGCAGTTCCAAGTTCCAGGATGCGGACCTACCCTGTGGAACATCATGTACCACGGACTCTTGAAACTAAGGGTAAGCACATAGTGGAGCGACGAGCAAAGTAGTGAGCAGTGAGGAGAGCAAAGCAGCGAAAACTAACACACGAGATTAAATTGTTTGACACATAGTGAAGAGCAGTGCGGAGATTTAGCAGCGCTGTTAATATCGAGCAAAGCGACGCGTTCAAGCAAGTTTGATTTTTCTACATTGCTCGTTTGTCTCTGTGTTGTGAAAATAGACGTTAAACAATTAATAAGTAGTATTTTTGTTAAAAATCCATTGTGGAACCAAAAAGATACCCAACATCATAACCGATACATATTAGATAAGTTGTGGGATGATGTAGCAAGAGAAATGAAGTCAACAATCAAGTGAAAAATGTATTACCTATATTATTAATTGATTGCTGCTGGACCAATTGGGATTATGGTAAAGTTAGTCCATTTTTTTACCAATCTTTGTTCTATTTTCTCCAAAATGTAATCAAAAGTTTTAATATCTATTAAAAGATAAGAGTGAAATTTTTCTGGATGTTGCCGTAATTCCTCATATAAATGATGATATTCGCCTAATCGAAGTTTGCTTCTGTTTATATAGTGTGCACTACACTTTCTTTTTTTCTTTCTGTCTTCTCATTAAATACCAAAATTTTTAAAGACGACGTTTCGGTTAAAACCAAATTATTCATTTTTATCTTTTTCACTCGAGTATTAACTCGTCACTATGTGCATACAATTCTTTCATCCACTCTCTGCTCAATTGACGCTCTGCTCTCCGCGCTGCCCGCTGCTCTGCTCGCCGCTCCACTATGTGCTTAGCCTAAGACTAGGTACTAAAGGGCGTTACACTGATACGATACGCGCACGATATTGCACTGACAGTTCTGGGAAAAAACCTAGATCAGATTGAAAGAATGCTAGGTACTAACAGCAATACCAGGTATTATGTCGTGGCTACAGGAGAATCAACTGGAAGTAGCAGAAGAAAGAACAGAGGACTTAATAATAACCAATAAAAAGGTGGTGCCTAATAGAGCGTCCATCGTATGGGGAAAGACGATATCTCCAACCACAGACATTAAATACCTGGGAGTATGGCTAGATAACAAGCTAACGTTTGCAAGCCACCTAAAGAAAACTGCGGTCAAACCAGCAAACGCCATGAAAGCCCTGGCTAAATTAATGCCCAATGTGGGAGGCCCGTACGCATCAAAACATTCTGCCACCCAATCTAGCCATAGCCCGGAAACCTGACCAATCAAATTCGATGTGGCTATTTTGGGTGGCATAATGTTACTACTTGCGCTGAATCAGGGGTCAGAATGTCGGAACGATGATGGAGCTATTTAAAGAGTCAGAATGTTATTGAATGGGCTAGATTCAGGGTCAGAATGTTACAGGCGATAGAGCATTAGTATTGAATTTAACAAGCAATGTTTGATGTTGAAAAATCTACAACTGTCTTTTGTACGTGTTATTCAGTTCAGAAATTTATATTTTATTCGTTCGTGTTCCCTATGGATTTTTTTCATGAATATATTCATTAAATTGTTAGTTTTTAGTTTTTTTATTGAAACGGAGGAATTAAGAAATATTTCCATTTTGGATATAAGGGGTTAATAAATTTAGATTTTGCATTAGGTGTTTTACCTTAATTAAAAAAGCATCTACTTGAAATAAAAAAAGGAAAAATAGTACCTACATTAATGGCCGTTTGCAGTGTTTGCATCGACAGTTTTAAGGAAGCCTTTTAACGTTAAGTCCAGTCTACGTCAGGTCTACGTTAAAACGACATTTTTGCATGAGAAAATGTCACTTTAAGGAAATTAGAGAGTTATTGGAACTATCAAATACTGCCTCGCAGTATTAAGGATCAACGTTATTTTATTAGTGCATCAGCACTATTTTTCCAAGAAAAAAACAGTTATTGGAAGACTGTAGTAGGTGCTAGAGTATTACCTTATTTTGTATTCATAATTTTGACAGCTGATAGCTATGTTTATAAATTTCAGCCTCAAAAAGTGTTTATTTTTGTTTGTTGATTTTCTGCTGATACCATTTTTTGATGTTACCCACAGTAAAATGGAAAACTATTGTAAAAAATAAATTTTCTAAGTAAAATTACGTCATCGTCGAAAAGCGAAACGTCAAAGTCGTCAAAAATGTCTGAAATTTGAAATAAGGGAAGTTTACTGCCTCGCACTAACCATACACAAATAAAGACAAGCAGTAACCTTATTATGGGAATCCTTATTTTCGGACCCAAATGCGCATGCGTAGATGTCAAAATAAGGCTAATTTAAATACTGCTTGTCCTTATTGCACGTCCAATAACTCTCTAATCTTTCTAAAGTGCGTTTTTTTTTTTTTAAAGATAAAAGTCAAACTGACATTAGGTTGGCAATACAATGTAAAATTGTCAATGCTTTCAAATTTTTCATGTAGAAAAGGCTTGTGTTGCCAACATAGTTACTAAATTTTTGACTTGTGGAATTATCTTTAAAAAAAAACAGATTTTATAAAACCTTCCATAAATTGGTCGGTGCAAACGGCCATTAATTTCGGTACTATTTTTCCTTTTGCATGATAGGTGTTTTTACTCACATTCGAATAAACAAACGTTGTGGATAGGTTTATCGCATCCATCTCCATCATGAATAATTATTAAAATGTCTTCGCATAAATTTCAATAGAGCAATGAGCGACAAATAAACAAAACATGCGGCCCTTCTAACGGACTAGTCCAACAGGCCGTCCCGACATTCTGACCCCTGATCTAGCCCATGTAGTAACATTATGCCGCTCAAAATAGCCACATCGAATTTGATTGGTCAGATTTCCGGGATACGGCTAGATTGGGCGGCAGAATGTTTTGATGCGGCCCGTACCCAACCAAAAGAAAATTACTATGCTCTGTGGCCAGGTCGATTATGCGGCCCCAGTTTGGGGTGAAGCCATGAAATACAGGAAGTACCGGAGCTGGCTGGAAAACATCCAGAGAAATGCTGCACTGACAATTGCTGCGCCTACCGCACAACTTCAACAGAAGCAGTACTGGTCAATGCAAAAACACCACCGATAAACTTCCTAGTGAAAAAGGTCGCCGAAATATCGGGCGCAGGGGAAGAGAAAGAGGCATTACGAGCAGACTTAGGATTAACCTAGTACAAGAACGGCAAAATAGATGGCAAAACCAAAAGAAGGGCAGATGGATCTATACACTAATTCTAAGTTTGACCACATGGGTAAATAGGCCGCATGGCGAAACGGACTTCTTCTTGATGCAGATGTTGACGGGTCACGGTTGTTTCAGAAACTGCACATACCATACATGATCAATAAGACCACGGATAATGAATGCGTCTACTGCGGTCTGCGGAGAAAGGGGTAATGTTGAAAACACCTTTTTCTCATGCGGGCACTGGAAAGAGCAACGGGAGACATGCATCAAAAGAACAGGACCAATCACACCCCAAAACATCACCCACAAAATGATCAGCTAAGTCGAAAACTGGAACGCAGTCAAGGAAATGGCCAACGCAATCTTGAAAGTGAAGACAATGGAAAAAAACACATACAATCAAGAAATGCCAACGACATCAACAATGGCGACACATGACCAATACGTAATTTACGCAGCTTCCCTTGAGGTAATGCTAAAAGGCGATTCAGGGGTGAGGGAGAAACCCGCGATGGAAGAGGGGAGTTTTTTAGTTGAGGCAAAGAGAACTTCTTCCCTTTGAATTATCCAGGATGGTTCGCGAATAGTTCGATAAACGAGAACCAAAACGAGAACCAGAAAACACCTACCGCTAGCTAGTTTCACGCGTCCGGAAGCGATTTGCAGGTAATGTTTTGGTGTTATTGGAGAGTTGCCGCCAATTGTAGGTTGCATTAAAATAGTAGGTGTAGGTATAGTGAAAAACTTAAAAATTATAAAAATATATAGTATCATATAATATATAATATATATAATAACACTGACACTGGACAATATTAAAGTCAAAAGTAAGTTTAGCAAATAGGAAGTACCGAGGGTAGTACTGGAACTACAAAGTAGGAAAGTAATCGGTAAGAGGGCGGCAAAAATACCTTTTGCACGGGGCGCCGAAATGTCTGGAGCCGGCCCTGGAGTCACCTCCGGGTTAGTTTTAACTCCAGGGTAAGCGTGTCTAATTGCTATGTACACCCTGGAGTTATGCTTAACCCGGGAGTGACTTGCTATTGAGAAACCGGCCCTTATGACCAATGACCATATGTCCGAAAAATCGGGGGCCGATGAGCAATCCTGTGGTAATGTGTAATATCCTTGGTTTCCAGCCTCGTGCACCGCCGACTCAACATAAAAACGAAGAGCTGTCACAGTAAAGAAAATAATAATCTCGGGCATGCGTAGAATAAACTTCGACCGACTATCTGACAGATAAACAAAAATGTAACCGTTTTGAGGGGCCCCGTTTTCCCGCTAAATATTGAAGATTTGTGGCACAATGCATTCGTGATAAATTGTAAATTATGGAGAACGATAATAAGCTGGATCGCTTTTTGAGATTGGGAAAAGCTGGAGAAGGTACCTACGGCGTTGTGTACAAAGCGAAAAACAAACTGACTGGCAAGAATGTTGCTTTGAAGAAAATTAAATTGCAAAAGTAAGATTTTTTAAAAACAATTAGGGCATTAATGGTTAGAAACCAAGTACTTACTTAGTTATTATTGTAAAATTGTTTATGTGAAGATTGTACTAATCTCATCTCTTTGGGATCTATACCAGCACTATATTGTGTATTTATGATGAATTATTCTCTCAAATGGTATTGTGTGTCTAGTAGTACTAACATTAAATATAGATTGTGTTCATTTAACAAGTTGCTTCCTATGTACAGCTCACGTCACGGTAACATCATCATCATTCGACCCTTCAATAGTGGAATGAGTTGAATACTTGTGCTGCCACGTAAATTTGATCGTAGCACCATTTATTCAGCTCATACTGCTATTTTATTTCATCATTTTCTGGTAACATTTCATCTGCCTACAGAGTTACTATCATTATTGGTAGGTAAGTAAAGTAGCACAATTTCAGTGATCTTTAATGCACAAGAGCTTGGGCGGGCTCGAGGGCGGGCTTTCGTTTTATACTGAGTGTTTTTGTTACACAGGAAGTGATTCCTCTAGTTCTATAATTCATTTCATTTATTTAGAACCAATATTAACAAAATTACAACAATAAAATTATTAACTTAATTAATTAACTAATCTATCAGGTATTCCTTCCGAGGTTTCTTCCTTAGAGATTATTTGGCCTTATACTCGGTCTCATATCATCGACAATATTCAGGCCATCATAGCTCACTATACTCTGAGTTCAAAGTGTCAGTGTCTCATATAATGTGGCACACAATAACTCAATGCAATAACTACTAGGTGACACATTGAAATAAAAACTATTTATTAGGGTAGCTACCTATTAGTTGTATATTATACACGCTACTGGAATCATCCAGGATGTGAAAAATGAGTCACTGATACTTATGTTGAACTTAGGGCCGGTTTATTCACCTTCTGATAAACTGTCAGGTATGTTATCTGATGGATAAAAATGAAATGCGTTAGCACATATGACAGAGCAAGATTTGGGGAAGGTTAAAGAGTGGTGTGATTTAAACTGTCTTGTATTGAACATAATAAAAAACAAATATCCTTCCATTTAAATGTTGTCTTGATGAACGATAATATCCTGGAAGAAAAACATGTTGTGAAATTTCTTGGAATCCATATAGATGCAAAACTCAAATTTGACAATCACATAGACTTGCTAAATAAAAAACTTGCAAGGGTCTGTTACATGGTCAAAACGGTTGCACAGAAACTGGGGATGGTTTCGGCAAAAACTACTTATCATGCTCTTGTTGAATCTCTTCTTCGCTATTGCATTGCTTTTTGGGGTTATTCAACGCAAAGCTCAATTCAATCTGCTTTTATCTTACAAAAAAGAGCCGTAAGATATTTGTGCTGGGCGAAATGCAGAGATATTTGCAAACCACTTTTCATTAAGCACGAAATTTCAACAGTACAACATGCTCGTGTATACTATTATTTTTATTTTTTTTTAATCTTATTCCTTTTGTGGCCGTTATATTGCCTACTTTCTAGTTAGGAATTAGTATTAGAATCCTGTTTGAAATTAAAATTGAAATTGGAATTGAAATCTGTAATCCCATTGGTCAGCCATCTTTTTGTTGACATTTCGCCCACCAATAGAATTATAGAACGTTAAAGGATCCTGCCCAAAGTATACAGAAATTGTGTTTATGTCAGAATTGGCTGAATTTTGTATATAATGTAGAACACGCATTCCTGATTAAAAGTTATCATTGCACCAATCCTGAAAAATTACTTCTTTTTGAGAAAATTAATTTCATAGGTAGCAGGTAAAAAGCTTGGACATTGTAATGGACATTCAATGTAACACGAATAGGTTAGCTTGTGGCACAGTGATGTGCTACATGGAGTCATTTTCCAGGATTGGTGCAATGGTAACTTTTAATCAGAAAGGTGTGATCTCTCGCGTGATCTACATTATATACAAAATTCAGCCAATTCTGACATAATAGTATATTGTTGTATTAGGAGTAGAAGCTTCAGCAGTATTGCAAGCCTCACTACGTTCGGCTAGCAAACCTACCGCTTCAGCACAAAAAAGTGCTTCTACTCCGTATGCAACACGCTATTTTTTCTCCAAACGAATGGGGTAAGCTCGGGGGCAAGTGAATGGTTGAGCAGCAGTAAAAGTACGAGCGGCATTAAAAGTACTTCTACTGCCGCTCCAGCGACATTAATAGTATATTGTTGTATTAGGAGTAGAAGCTTTACTTTTTTGTGCTGAAGCAGTAGGTTTGCGAGCCGAACGTAGTGAGGCTTGCAATACTGCTGAAGCACAAAAAAGTGCTTCTACTCCGTATGCAACACGCTATTTTTTCTCCAAACGAATGTGGTAAGCTCTGGGGTAACTGGATGGTTGAGCGGCAGTAAAAGTACAAGTGGCACCAAAAGTACTTTTGCTGCCGCTGGGGTTGCCAAGCAGCATAGAAATTAAATTTCGACCACCTCGACAGGTGTTAACCTCCTGGATTTGCCTAGCAACATAGAAATTGAATTTCTGGAATGGAAATGGAGAAAAAAATACTTTTTCTCCAAACGTCAAAAAAACGTCACTTTGTCAGCACCTGTCAAGATGTTAGAAATTTAATTTCTATGCTGGTAGGCAAATCCTGTGGGTTAACACCTGTCGAGGTGGTAGAAATTTAATTTCTATGCTGCTAGGCAACCTCAGCGGCAGTAGAAGTACTTTTAGTGCCGCTGGAGCGGCAGCAAAAGTACTTTTAGTGCCGCTCGTACTTTTACTGCCGCTTAACCATTCAGTTGCCCCCGAGCTTACCCCCATTCGTTTGGAGAAAAAATAGCGTGTTGCATACGGAGTAGAAGCACTTTTTTGTGCTTCAGCAGTATTGCTAGCCTCACTACGTTCGGCTCGCAAACCTACTGCTTCTACTCCTAATACAACAATATACTATTTGCTGCCGCTGGGGTTGCCAAGCAGCATAGAAATCGAATTTTTACCACCTCGACAGGTGTTAATCCGCTGGATTTGCCTAGCAGCATAGAAATCAAATTTCTGACATCTTGACAGGGGTTAACAAAGTGATGTTTTTCTGACGTTTGGAGAAAAACACAATTTTCGTATACTTTGGGCAGGGTCCTTTATCTTGCAGCAAGTTTATCAGAAGATGAATAAACCGGGCCGCAAAATATAGATTTTCAATGGTATGGTTAAGGAATTTTTCAAACAGCCCAATTGAAGAAAAAGGCTTAAAAGGTACAATTCTAAGTCGAAAGAATATTCCGATTTCTCCAGTTTCAAATATTATGTAATAAGCGAGGTAATAAGGCTTTACTATAGTCTGTGTATTACTATATTACAATCCTTAAACAAATGACCATTGCTATTGCTATATTACTCTTGTGTTTTATGGCTTTTTTCAACATTTATTATTATTGCTCCAGCCTTTTTGATATTTTAAATGCTCACATCTTCAGCCTTCTGTTGAGAGCTTTTTTAACTGTCAAATCTCTCCTAGTAGTCCTAGTTGCTAATTTAATTCATATTTGTTCAAATTGGGTATATTAAAAGGCACTTTTTTACTAAATTTTCAATAATTTTTGGAAGGGTTGCTAATAGGAAAATTGGCCTAATTAGATGGAAAGTGGAGATCTTGATTGGGAATAGCGAAAACTTCTGGCCATTCACTGAAAAGTAATCCATGATAATCAAGATGTATTTGCTACCATCCTCTTACTCAGGGAACGGTCTGGCTACATCTATCGCTATTCTTTCAAATGGGAGACCGAAGTTGTACTGTTTTATGGGCCCCCGAAATCTTAGTTTAGGCCCTTTACTGGTAGCACAAATGGCGCATTTTCGGCACCAGTTTTCAACGTCTTCAAGATAGTGAACCCAGGAAAAGCGTTCCCGAATTTTGTCTTGTTAACTCCAAAATTGTGCCCCAAGTTCCGTCATGTATTTCTTCCAATACATCTTCTACTCGATCTTTCATCTTTCCTGGTCTTTGCTTGAAGTTCCAAACATGCCGGTGAAGTCACAAATTGGATATCTTGCTTTATTCTCGAATGGAATGTTCTTAAAGAAGTTGGAAACACTCCAGTGTCAAACGAATGATTAACATAAGCAATTAATATTGTTACTTTTTTAAATCAACCTTTCCTATAACTTTGGTTTATTAAGGACTGCAGAGCACCCTAGTGCTATTGTTATATTATAATATAATATGTAGTATGATATAACTAATAAAATTTATCCATTCAAAATCTCAAGAAAAACTATTGAAACTTTTTTCAGTTTTTCTGATATCTTCAACCTCTAACCCTCTACCGATTTTGAAACGAATACAAGTTGAACCCCTGCTAAAAGAAAAAGATGGTAGTGGCATCTCATCCCATCCACAATCTGGAGGACGGGGACAAAAACTTCATTTTTTGTTAAGTTTTTTAATATTCCCAACCCTCAATCATCTAGAGGTTAATTCGAAAAAAATATAAATTGTTTTTCTTTTTATGGATGGCATGCTTCAATAATACATAATTCTATTTTCCATTTCCTCCCCATCCAGTGGAATATCTCACAGATCTCTTTTAAATGCCGTATATTTAAAAGCAAAATATCCAAAAGGGTCAACATCCAATCCCGCCTTCTGTTCATCTGTCAGTAAAAAAATGCCAAAACATTTTCCTTGGCCCATTTTCTTTTATTTCACTAATTCACAATTTCGCTTGTGCAAAAAGTACTTTCAACTTTCAACAAATATAAAATACGATTTGTAATAGTAGACCCATTCCTAATAATATCATGTAAACAGACAAATCTTTAGACTTTGGGTTGTACCTGCTCAATGTTTTAGCTTTAATAAAACATACATTACTTTGATACTTGCCTAGCATTGAGTTGAATATTTAGTATGTCAACCGAGAGCCGTTTTAAAGTAGTAATTGTAGTTAAGTAACAAAAATATGATAATTTGTATAAACATTTTGCATGACCAATTTTTATAAAGCTTTTATTTTCATTACATTATGAACATACAATAAACATAGGAAAAAACATATAAATTCACTGAAAACTACATGGTAAGTGATTTTTAATTTTCCTTTTTTAGATATTAAGTAATTTACATATACTAGCAACTTAATGTAAACAAACTGTTTTTTCTAAAATGAATGCTTGCGCAAACCAGGTTTGCACAGTGGGCCTGTGCAAAATAACTGAGCGTCTGTGGAGGCTTTAAGAAATAACCTCCTGCATTTTTTTTTGTCATTATAGTAATGGCTCTGTATTTATTTCAGATTCCAGAATAAAGGCTGTTCAGAAGGGGTTCCGTCCACTGCAATGCGAGAAATAACACTATTAAAAGGAGTCAGACACTCCTCAATAGTAGAGCTTTTAGATGTAATGTACACGACTGAAAACTTATATTTAGTGTTTGAATATCTAGAATTGGATTTGAAAAGATATATGGACGTTAGTAAATTATCACTAGAGCAAGAGTTAGTAAGAGTTAGTTCATTATTCATATAAAAAAAAAACATTTTTTTTAATTTACATTTTTTAGAATTATATGAAACAATTAGTTGATGCTATGGCATATTTACACTCTCATAGAATCCTACACAGGGATCTCAAGCCACAGAATCTTTTAGTTGATAAAGAAGGTCACATTAAATTGGCAGACTTTGGACTTTCAAGATCTTTTTCTCTGCCTACTAGGACTTATACTCATGAAGTAGTAACAATGTGGTATAGAGCACCTGAATTACTTTTAGGAGAAAAAATGTATTGCACTGGTGTTGATATATGGAGTTTGGGATGTGTTATGGCAGAAATGGTTTGTCAGTGTTAATATTTTGTTGGACTTTTACAGATTGATTTTTGAAAATTTATAGTTGATGAAAAGGGCCTTGTTTCCTGGTGATTCCGAAATCGATCAGTTATATAAAATATTCAAGATAATGGGGACACCTACGGAAGAGAAGTGGAGAGGTGTTACACTATTACAAGACTATAAACCAGCTTTTCCTAAATGGCAAGCACAGAATTTACAAGATATTATTAGATTTCATTGTGAGGAAGAAGAGCAACTTTTAGAGGTAAAATCCTCTTCAAATTTTTTAAAAAAGTTTATGGTGTGTCTGAAATTTTTCTTTGAAATTAAAGATAATTAAATTTTTTTTTTTACTTCTTTTCTATCCAGATCTATCCAAAGCAGTCCTCAAATATGTGCTAAACAAAAACACAATCTAAATTAGTGTAAAATTGCATTCCATTATCTGCCTCGATTTTCTACTTCTTTTCCATGACAATTTATCCAAAGTAGTCCTGAATCGGAGCTTATAGTCATACAGATCCTTCCATAGATATATTTTTGATTCAAAATTACGTTTAAAACCTACAGAAAATGGTCTAAATTTCTTCTAAATGATTTCTATTTGGCATTTTCTATTATTGAAACATCAAAAGAAACTTTCGTTAATGGGTGGAGAATTGCATGTCAAGGAGATTTTCCATGATTTTCTACATTTTTCAATCAAAATCTATGCAAATCAATCCTAAATGTTTGATTGATTGTTGAAAGACATATTTTTGTTTCAGTTTTGCAGGGAAGAATAAAATCGATGTTGATTTTTTATTTCCAGGAGTATTGGGAATTCTCCAATTGTTGTAACTTTATTTTATTGAGCATAAAATTGTGCACCTCTTCCTCGATTTCATCAATCCTGTATTTCTCACCATTTTAAAAATTCCCAAAATGTGACTTCAACTTGAAACACCCTGAACCTACATTTCATTTTCCTGTAAAGTCGCCGTTCATCTCTTTAATATCTGCTGCATATCCTTTATTTTTCATAACAGGATTTAAATTAAAAATTTCGCCACATATTTCCGCTCAATTGTTGGGGGATCATCCCAGCAGTTGGTCAGTTTTACTTGTGGTGTTAAGTGCTTCTCTCCAGCTATTCCGCTGTTTGCTATTTTCTTCCATACGTTGTACTTTAAACAGAAACAAAATGATTCTAATAAATTTTTCATTTCAGTATATGTTAACATACGATCCAGCCAAACGAAAAACCGCAAAGGAATTACTAAGGTGCAACTATTTAAAGACTGCCAAATTGACAACTCCAGATTTGAATGCATTTCCTCGGGAGGACATTACAGACGAAGCTGGACCAAGCTGATTTTTTTTAAAACTTTGTGTGTGTTTCAAGTTTTGATACCTAAATAAATTTAACTTATTCTTTTTTTAAGTTGGTGTTTGTATTTTCTTGAAAAATCAAGGTAGGTTCATACAGAACTTTGATTTAATTCAATGTTTAACTTGATTAGGAAATTCGCTAAGTGATATCTGACAATGGCGTTTATACAGAAATTCAACTTAGTTTAGAAGTTTACAAAGTTTTACATTTTAGAAATATTTCAGTCATTGTGCATGTGAAAACTAATTTGTTTTGAATGTTTTGCCTCTGAACTCTCAACCAAAAATGTTAGAAAAACGTTTCAATGATTTAGACAATAAAAATTTCTCCAAGGATAGGAGACGAAGATATTGTCCGTCGCGAAAATTCCAGAAAAATGAACAAAGTTCGAAAAAGTAAATTCTTCGGAAAAATGAAATTTGGATTATCAGTGCTGCTAATAAACGTTCCAGATACTATCCACTTCGAATTGGTTAACTGAGTTAAAGGAATAACAAGAAATAACATGTGAAGAAAGACTACTGTTATTAGCATCGTGCCTAGTAAGTACATTCTTTCTCTTTAAACATTTTGTAATTGGTGTTTCATAATTAAGATTTTTGGATTTTTGATCTTTTGTAATTTCTAAAAAAAATGTCAAAACACCAGTTTTTGCACCAGTTAGTATGCAATTATCTGATAATTTGCACTAGTGCAAATTATCGCGTAATTACAATCTGATTGGTTCAAATCAACAATCAAAACATGTCAATTCATTGTTGGAATACCAGTTTTGACAGATGTATGAAATTCTCAAAATAATTTCTTTTAATAATTCAAAGAATTATTCTGAAGAAGAAATAAGGAATCTCTTAACTCAATTTAATTTAACTCGTCTTTACAATCCTAATTCAAGAAGTAGGTAACCAACGTCAAAGCACAGGTCAAAGATCAACAGTAACAAATGTAGTCTTATATGTCAAAAAATTGAATAGTGTTTTGTTTATGTGTAGCTTGAAAAAAAACTTGGCTACTAACTCTACATTTTGTTTTTTTGTTCACCTTGATATCTTCAGAAACAAAAAAGTTACAGGTGATCAAAATGATATCAAAGATAAAAAACACCCGGTACATATAATATGCAATTAATTATTGTATATTTTCGAATAAGTTAAATGAACTCTATTCTAAGTTAACAATTATAATTACAAAACAATAATTCCGAACGTGCTCTATAATTTAATCTACAACAAACCCTTTTTTCTAGGTTATGACGTAAGTAGTACAGGGTATTTGAGTATATTTGGACCCATACCTACAGCCTTTACTATTTAAGATAGAAAAAAAATTTAAATACAAAACTTGGTAGTTTTTTTCTTTTAACGTTATCAGAAAAATCAAAATCGCATCGGAAAATGGAGAAACCCAGACCACTTCGACATTGTTTAATGGAACACCCAGTATATTTTGTGATAAAATGAAAGTTCTTTTCATCCTGATTCCAAATACTTATATAAATATTGATCACATTTGGCCGTTTTTGATATATCTTAGCTTAAATAATAAATGAAATCCAAAGAAATTTTGTAAAGATTTAAATGTCTTGACATTCTTATGAAATTTCTTTGCAAATTATTTATAATTTAAGCTGCTAAAATATGTCAAAAACGGCTCACTCGAATGTAATCAATATACAGGGTGTTCCTAAATATCATGTACAAACGAAAGGGGGTGATTCTTTGGTTTATTTTATGACTAAAATTTCTTATAAACATAGGTCCGCAAACGCTTCGTTACCTATCTACAGGGTGTTGAAATTTTAAGGTATCCATATTGAAAATGAGAAAAAAATATGGCGTCGAGGGGTGTCTAACTTCTAGATTTCTATTGAAAATGAGCAAGAATATAGCGGGACCTCTATTGTAGCCACTGAAGGTAGAAAATATTTATTGAGTTACTTTAATTAGTTATACTTAGTGCGATATCGGACGATATCTCCTTACAGGGTGATGCAAGAAAAAAAAAATTAAATTACAAAGTTGTTTGATACTCTAATATGCATTAGTTAAAAATATTTTTGAATATACAGGGTGCTCCGTTTATGGGGTATGCGACAGAACTTTGGTATTTTAAATGGAACACCCTGTATCTGATTTCATATTTGGATTCTACGTAAAATTCTGAGCAGACTTCATATAATATAACCCTATACCTAAGTTCCACGGTTTTGGAAATATTGACAGTTGAAAATTGACTTTTTGCAACTTTGAGAGGCTGTAAAACCTAAACGATTAATTTTAGACGAAAACCGATTTTACATTCCTATCTTAGATTTTTATAAACTATTTGATACCAACTTTGAATTTAATCTATGATCAAAAATTCCAATTAAATTTAATCTCCGGTTAAATTCAAAGTTGGTGTCAAATGATAGTTTATGAAAATCTAAGATAGGAATGTAAAATTGGTTTTCGTCTAAAATTATAAACGGTTATTACAGCCTGTCAAAGTTGCAAAAAGTCAATTTTCAACTGTCAATGTTTTCAAAACAGTTGAACTTAGGTATAGCGCTATATTACATGAAATCTGCTCAGAATTTTACGTAGAATCCAAATATGCGATCACATACAGGGTGTTCCATTTGAAATAACAAAGTTTTGTCGCATACCCCATAAACGAAGCACCCTGTATATTCATAAATATTCTTAACTAATGCATATAAGAGTATCAAACAACTTTGTATTTTTTTTTTCTTGCATCACCCTGTAAGGAGATATCGTCGGATATCGCACTAAGTGGACACCCGTATACAGTGCGGCCGTAAAGTAAGGAATAAATTCAATAGTTATTCTGCCGAGCAATTTTTTTTAAAATCCTCGAATACGTCAATTTTATTTTTTGTCGAGCATTTTTTATAAGATGAAATTATTATACAGGGTGGTCGCAGAAAAGCTGGACAGGTAGTAACTTAATTTTTTTAAATAGATACCCCTAGTTTTTTTTACATGTCCGGATTTCTGATAAAATTCTAGTGTTTTTCATGAAACATGTCCTATAACTATCTTCAACTGTTTCGGAAGGCTGTAAAACCTAAACGGTTAATTTTAGAGGAAAACCGATTTTACATTCCTAGCTTAGATTTTCATAAACTATCATTTGACACCAACTTTGAATTTATCCAGAGAATAAATTTAACTGGAAATTTTAATCATAGATTAAATTCAAAGTTGGTGTCGCATGATATCTAGTGTATAAAAATCTAAAATAGGAATGTGAAATCGGTTTTCCTCTAAAATTACCCGTTTAGTTTTTACAGCCTGTTGCAAAAAGTCAATTTTCAACTGTCAATATTTCCGAAACAGTTGAAGATAGGTATAGGAAATGTTTCATGAAAAACACTTAGAATTTTATCAGAAATCCGAAAATATTAAAAAATTAGGTGTATCTATTTAAAAAAATTAAGTTACTACCTGTCCAGCTTTTCTGCGACCACCCTGTATAATAATTTTATTTTATAAAAAATGCTCGACAAAAAATAAAATTGACGTGTTCGAGGATTTTTAAAAAAATTGCTCGGAAGAATAATTATTGAATTTATTCCTTACTTTACGGCCGCACTGTATAGCTAATAACAGAGATTTGTTTTTCAATTTTTTTCTCGATAAGGGTCGGTGATACGAAAAAACTACAAGAGAACAAAAAGTGTCTAAATAAGGTAGTGAAATTATTTTGTTTTTTAGAATCGACCAGCGCCACACTGCGAAAAAGTTCAGGGGCAGAAAAGGGGGCATGACCCCTGGAAAACATCACCTTGTAGATTTTGGCAAACGTATGACGTGCAATCTTTCAGCTCCTATTGCGTAACCTATATTTCAAATTTGAACCAAATCCCTCAGAAATTGCAGGTGCTATAAAGAAAAAACTAAAAAAAAATATTAAAATTTCAACACCCTGTAGATCGGTAACGAAGCGTTTGTGGACCTATGATTATTAGAAATTTTATTCATAAAATAAACCAAAGAATCACCTCCTTTTGTTTGTACATGATATTTAGGAACACCCTGTATAGGTACATATTTGGAATCAGGGAATAAAGATCTTTTATTTTATTGCAAAACATACAGGGTGTTCCATTAAAAAAAGTCAAAGCTACGTTTCTCCATTTTCCGATGCAATTTTTTTTCTTCTGATAGGTAACGTTAAAAGAAAATATAGAAAAAAACTGTCAAGTTTTCTATTTAAAATTTTTTTCTATCTTAAATACCTAGTAAAGGCTGTAGGTATGGATCCAAATTTAATCAAATACCCTGTACAAACCTTCGTGAAACAAACTAAGTATTTTTTCTATCGTAAATGGTGCGATGATAATTTTTATTTAATAGTAGTTATAGGAATAAATATTTTCATAATCGTATTAATTATATGATTGTTACTTTAAAGCTTTGCAAATATGGACAAATCATGGGATAATAATGTGGGATATTATAGTCTGGACCGCGCAAAACTCTATAGATTATGTACCAAGTTGTTGGGGAAATTCTTCAAATACACAGTATAAATTTAATACCCCACTTCAATGAATTCTTTGAAAATAAAAAAAGAAATAGACGCTGTACTCCTTTGAATGAACATTTCAAATGGTTGGAAGCCACTTGTAAAGCTGAAGCTGTAAAGGAGTTAGGTATTCGTTAATTTTTTATATTTTTTTTTATTTCAGCCACCAATGATTTCTTAGGTCTCCTGTACAAGCAACACCTTCTTGCAGTTCAATTAATAAAGGTTCAACATTGTCCAAAGGTACCTAATTCTTTTTGCTAGATCTGTTGGGACTTGGGAGAAGAGAAAATTAATAGATTACCTATTTAAAAATTGCATTTATGCAGATTTGTTTTTTTTTTTTTTCAAATCTATGCAAACTGTCTCAATAATAATTTAACTTTCACTATATTCACATGTATAATAATCAATAATTTTTAATTAGAAACTTTTTTATAGATGCTACTGCTAGTATTATGGTGGAAATACTTGAAATTAAATATGAGGTACAAGAAACAAAAAAAATTTTGGAAAGAGTAGAGACGCTTTTAGCCAATAAAGCAATTGCCAACATACCAAATGAAAACGTAAATAAATACATGGAGAAAATTCCATGTAAAACAAAAACTGATGTTGACAGATTGGACTCAGAAATTAGAGTCAATGATAATTTTAAATATTTGGTAAGTTTTCTTTTTATATAGAAAAAATTACATATTATAACCTTTTTTTGGAACAATTAATCTACATATTATTGATTAAACTTCATTTACTTTTTTCTAGATATTGTTTTAATCCACATTGTTATTGTATTTTTCAGGTTAAAATTTTATACCTATTAGGAGGAAGCAGCCCTCGTAAGAGTGTATATTTGATGATGGGCAAAATATTGGACAAACCGTTGGCACTGGAGTATTCTGGACAAGGGAAAAAAAAGAAAATACCATTTTGCAAATTGAAACTTTTTGAAGCAATAATTGGTTTGTATCATATTTTGGTAATATGGTTTAATTATAAATAAACTAAATAATTTATTGTAGCTGCTGTCCGCAAACGCCATTCTTCTGCAAGCGAAGATACAATTAAAAAAAGTGTGGCGTTATTTCTAGCATCAGCTAAGTCGAGGCTGCCAAAAAATGAAAATCAAAGGTTGGTCTCCTTATCTTGTTAGGTATAGTTGAATTCATGATAGAGTTCGAATTTTGACCGTTATTTTCACCAGTTGAAAGTAAATGAAATCCCCAGATCTGTCCCTTTTTCTGACAACTATCAAATAATGATACATGACATTTTGATTTGTCATATAAAAACATCAGATTCGGGTCTTTGAATTTTGAATTTCGATTTTTGCCGTTTTCTGCATAATTTTCTGATTTGTTATATTCGCAATCGGTTTGTTGGTTATTTATATTGTGTTCTGTGCCTATTGTGTTTCGGTGTTGCGTATTAACTTCCTTTAAAGAAATTGAAAATAAATTTTTCCTACAGCCGTGCGGAAAAATCGATTTTCCGCACTGATATGCGTGCGGAAAATTAGTTTTCCCGCACGATGCGGTAATTTTTTTTTTTTGACATATCAGTGCGGAAGAAGTTTTTCCGCACGGCTGTCAGTGCGGAAGAAGTTTTTCCGCACGGCTGTCAGTGCGGAAAAAATTTTACCGCACTGATATGTCAAAAAAAAAAAGAAAAATTTTACATTTTTTCGCCTGTAGGAAAAATATTGTACCTAACACTTGCTCCGCTACGCGTCTTTCGGTGAACGACAGCCGCGTGCGGAAAAATTCATTTTCCGCACTTGTTAGGTAAATAGCTATTTATTCTGAAATGTATATCACTTTTCTAAATACGACCCTGTCGTTTATCCCAGCTGACGGAATCAAAGCGCTGACGCAACGTAAAGAAAAAGTTACTAGAAATGTCAACGCGAACTGTCAACTTCACTTTCTATCGTGATTTCAACTATATTATGGTGTAGTGTTATATAAGATTACCCCATATATTTTACCTAAAAGAGATAGGTACAAAAAACTATCGGACAAAAGTAAAGCAGCTCTTATAAAAATATCCAATATTTAATTTTCAAAAATAAAATATGCATTAGCAATGAATAAAATCGTTTCAGTTTAAAAGGTCATAGTAAGCTACAGTGATTATTTTCAAATGTCAAATTAACTTGTGTGCAATAATTTATTTAAATAATACACTTCATTAGTGCGACAAAAGTAGAGCAACTTTTAAGAAATCAAAATTTTATTGCATTTAACAACACAAGAACAACAACTATAGTTAGGAGCTTATTGAAATAGACAATAATGAAAAAAAAAAACTTAATAGTTGATAGGATATCAATTGTTGGCTATAACTTTTTGACAACGGCGCGACATTGATGAAATTAAATTTCGGACAGTGACAATCGGCCTATTAGTCCAAACCTCGTCGATTTTATCAATAAAAAACTGTTTGTTTAGAAATTTTGTGGTACGAATTTGACGTTCAACTTCTTCTCACAGGTTCTCGATAGGGTTGAGATCCGATGATTGTGCTGGCCACTGCAGAACTCGGACATTGTTCTCCTGAAACCACCCCTGCACAAGACGAGAGGTGTGCTTGGGGTCATTGTCCTGTTGAAATACGAATCGCAAAGGCATCTCCCACTCAGCATTAGGCAACATTACATTTTGGAGTGTCTCTGTTCACCAATCGATCCATAGTCCCGACTATGAAGTGCAATGGACCATTGCCTACTCCAATCCATGAAAAGCAATCCCATAAAAACACACTTCCTCTTCCATGCTTTATGGTTGGTATAACGTACTTTCTCGTATTAACTGGACGTCTTACACGCCTCATTCCACCAAAATTGAAAATTTTATAACTTGTTTCGTCACTAAATAAAAATTTCTCCCAGTCTTGAACTGTCCAATTTAGATGAAGTTGTGCAAATTCGAGCCTGGCACGGTGATTTCTTCCAGAAACCAGAGGTTTCTTGGCTGGACGTCTACTGTAAAGCTTTGCTCCAACTAATCTTCGTTGGACAGTCCTCGCACTTCCTTCTAGTTCAGGAATTGCAGCAATTTTTCTTGGTCCTGACAACCACGGATCTCTCTGGCAAACTCTTTTGATTTTCCTATCCATTCAAAATGTAGTTTTTCTAGTTCATTGAAACGTGAAATTATTTCGAATACACTGTATTTTGGCAAAAGAAACTGCCTGGAAATGCAGGGCCGTCTTAAGCCATGGGCCCAGGGCCTCCGGCGTCAAGGGGGCCTCATCGCTAAGTCCACGCATAATTTAAAATAAATTTTATTTAGAAAAAAAATATAGGCTGGTAGCGATAGGCAAGTTGAATGTCACAATTTACTTTTTCTAATTTTGACATTTAAAGTGACACTTTTCAAAACTCGTTGACGTTATCAAATGTCTTACTTTTCATCACCAGTTGCGAAAAGTAAAATTTTTCGCAACTGGTGATGAAATAGTTATTTATGATATAAGTGCTAAAAGTGACATTTTATTTTGTGAAAAGGGAAGTTTGGGACACGACGCCAAAGGCGGAGTGTTCCATCACTTTGAACAAAATAAAATCACTTTTAGCACGAATATCATACACTATTTTTTCTACAAACGCACTAAAAGGGATTACTTTTAGCACTAGTGCTAAAAGTAATCACTTTTAACACCGTGTCATAAAATGGCATTTTAGACACTGACAGCATCCGTTAAAAATTACACTTTTAGTGACGTTTGTAGAAAAAGTTAATTTGACCATTAGTTGCGAAAAATACAGAAATAAAATTTGTGATAATTTCAACGCTAAACTACTTGAAGTATTGTTATTATATTCTCTGTAGGTATGAGCGAATTCTTTTATTCAGTGATGGATCCATCCTGCTGCCAGCATTATGAGACAGCCATTCCGATTTCCTATGAACTAGACAAACATAGACCGGTCATTGATGGATCCATTGCTGAATAAAAGAACGCGCACTATGCACTATACATGAAAATTTAATTTGTTCACACCATGAACAACATTTAACACCAAATCATATTTGCTCTGAAATAATGAATTCAAATTTAAGTTCTGATCATAAAGTAGTTAAAGTACTGAAAAGCTTAACAAAAATACGTTGGTCTACACGTAAAGATGCAGCTCTAAATTGTGGATACAAAGAAATCCAAATGAGCCTTGATACCTTTATGAATCAAAAGCCAGAGAAAAATCTATTTTAAAGGAGTACCGCTATCCTCAGAAACGAGTGAAACGACGAAGTGTCAAAGCAACTTTCCTTGAAGGTAACGGTTACAAAATATTTGAAAGGTTCGGTTTTTTTCAAAAATTTTCTGACCTGATTGAAAGCTGAAATTGAAATTTCAAGAGAAACGGTAAAACTGTCACATTTTTATGACAAAGACATTAACACCGATAAAATTTTGGAATGTGAGCATTTCAAATCCAAATGAGAAGGGAAAGAAATCTAAATCTACTGATAATCAAGATGAACCAATAGAAGATGGAGATGATAAGTCTATTGGAATCGGTACGCTTTAAACATATAAGTTTGAAGAAAAAAGTTTCACAGTATTTCCAAACATTGAAATTGCTAGGAGAATTTTTTAATCCATGATGGTCACTAATGCACGCGGGGAACGTTCATTCTCCAAACAATAGTCAAAAGCGAAATTACAAACCGCATGAGCCAGTCGCTATTGAATAACCTAAGTTTGATGAGTATTGAAAGCGAAATTTTACAAACCAAACCATTGATTTAGAAGACTTGATTCACGATTTTGCCTCTGTAAATTCTAGAAAACGACGTTTGTAATACCTATGTAAATTATTATTTCTTATTTTCTCTTCACAATATACATTACATTTCAGAAGTTTTTCTTATTTATTCATATCCTATTCCCTGGAGCAACCCCCCCTCCCCGTAGGTGAGGGGCCTCCTTTTACATATAGGCCCAGGGCCTCAAGAAGTCTTAAGCCGTCCCTGTAGAAATGTCAACCAAACGCCTTCCTTCCAAGAAAGCGTCTACTACCATTTGTTAATTCTAACTCCAGACAAATTGGTTTACCTTTTGGCATATTCAAATCTGTCAAAAAGACGAATAATCTTAATTTTTAACTCTACGAATATGTATTCCATCATACCTGAACCTCGAATCCCTTCTTTTTGGAAAAAATAAAAAAGTCGCTTTACTTTTGTCGCGCTGATAAAGTGTATTGTTCAAATAAATTGTTGCATACAATTTTATTTGACGTTTGAAAACAATTGAATTTCGCCTGTGACAGCAGTCTACTACCGTCTACTACAACCTTTTGAACTGGGATCATTTTAGCTTCCGTTATCAACAAGAAGTGTATTTTTGACAGTTGAATATTTTATTTTATAATAAGAGTTGCTCTAATTTTGTCCGGTAGTGTACGTATATAATAGGTTATATACTATAATACATACCTACTAATTAATATATTTTATTTTTAGAGAAATAGAAGAAGACGAATCAGAATTGGAATAATCCACTATCATAATAATAATATAGATTATTAAGCTATAATTATCAGAATGTGTTTTTGGTTATCCTTATTACAATTTAATGATGAAGCAATAAATAACTAGTCTTCTGTATAAAATTCCAATTCTTTGTTTTAAATTCTAAAAAATCCACGTTTAAGGAAATCAAATTATGAATTTAAAAAATTTGCATCATGGAAAACTCTCGACATCAATAATTATTGTAAATACATTTTTATCCAAATTACTTGATTTCAACTACTAATAATTATTGATAAATGCAAGTTTTGTTGTCAAATCTTTTATTAATCATATTCTTATGGCCATTTACACAGCTATAACTTGCTTGATCTTAATGGAGCTTTGAATGTATCTTCTGTTGTCGAATTCAAAGCTCCACTTAGATTATACATCCCTTTGTTATAGCCGTGCAAATAGCCGCTAATCAATTAATTAAGCAAAATCATATAATAAATATTACATATATATGTATTGAACATATATGTATTTAATATTTAATACGTATATACACATACTTCAAACATATATCAACTAAATATTTGATACATATATACAGGCCCGTAGCCAGAGTGGGCAATGCCCACTCTGAAAGAAAAAGTTGCCCACTCTAGAGTAGAATATAGAAAAAAAAACATATTATATAGGAAAAAAAAAATACATAAAATCACAATAGTTATTTGTTTTACTAGGCAGAAAAGTACAAGATTTAATGCCGCGGCTGGTGTTTCATAGCCGAGGCTAGGAAACCAGCCGAGGCATTAAATCTGCTTTTCTGCCATGTTAAACATATAATTTTTCTCCGAATGTTCAAATTCACACATGGACATCTTTTTTATATTTATTTCATTCATTATTATTATCGAAATAATTAAATTATTTTGACAATTGTCATTGTCACCATCAATTTCAAATACCAAATTGAGTGAAATTATTACCTGGAACGTTGTGACACTGTCACTTTAATGCCTAGGCAGTAAAAGTCCACTTTTACTGCCTAGGCAATAAAAATATAACTTTTGATCCTGTCAAGTGTCATTAAAAGGCCGCTTTTACTGTCATTCGGAGAAAAAGCAAATTATGTGATTTAAATACTGTTTTTCCGGATAATATTATTAATGCCTTTATACAATCCAATTATGTATTTTGAAGAAGTTTACGCCTATTTGCTGCGATCGTTTTCCGTTCATAAAACCACAGTTTACTTCATATTTTATCTTAAGGTGGGTGGCATTAAGGACATTTGAAATCTGTCAGTTCTGTGCTCTGATTGGTTGATTTTTCAAAATTCGTCTGCAAAAATAAAAAAACCTCACATCAGAATTGGCTCAAAATTGGCATAAACATTCTTTGATCGATTATCTACAATCAGAATATTTCGGTTTTTCGATATTTTGCGAGATTTTAGAAATAATCCATAACGACTATAGGCAACCAGGGCTGGGACTCTGTAATGGATAGAGATTGTTATCCCTATCGCTATGGCACTTGCTATCTTCTTCTCTCTCTCTTGGAAATCAATAGAAATGGGACCTCGATAGAGATAGAGAAAAAATCTCTATTCGTTACAAAGTCCTAGCCCAGATATACACTTTCCATTTCGAGAAGAACGCAAATTATCGAAAAACTGAAATATGCGTATTGTAGATAATCCATCAAAGAATGTTTATGCCAATTTTGAGCCAATTCTGATGTGAGTTATTCTTTCTCTTTGCAGACGAATTTTAAAAAATCCGCATAGAACTAACAGACTTCAATGTCATTAACGCCCCTTCAAGTGCGCTCTTATGTATTTTTATTATTTCTCTGTGTTTTGTTAAGGTTTTATATTTTATAATCATTTATTATGTACTTTTGAAAATAAAGTTTTTGCACCTTATCGTGATTTTAAGTAATGCTCAAAAAAAAAAAAATGAGATTGCCCATTGGTTTGCCCCCTCTAAATGTTTGGTTGCCCCCTCTGGAATCAAAACCTGGCTATAGGCCTGCATATATACAGTAAACATTTTAAACATTTTTGAACTGAAGATTTGAAATATATATACACTAAACATTTAAAATATATATATATATATATAGTGTCATTACTTAAGTGTGCAACATATGAGATTTTTTTTTAGTAATAGCACAATCAAAATACAAACAAGGCCAAAAGTTGGTGCATGTCTAATAATCATATTAGGTGCATTTAGAATAGCTGCAAGTCTTTGCTGCAAGTCAAACAGCATAGAGGGTAGCTCAAAATATAGGTATCAAAATTGTAGTAATATTTACTTGAATAAAATAAAACTTTTGCACTTTAAGGAGAGTTTTTTTAATATGGCTATTATCATTAGTAATGTTTTAACGTGTTAAAAAAAAATTGCGACATTTTAAAGTTGTGTTGAATATCATTGCAACAAACATGAATTTTGTGATTCCATAAAAAATTTAAAATCTAAGTTAATTTTACAAATATGCTTGAATTTGAACAACGTTATGTAAAATTGATTTGATTTTAATTAATTTTTGAAAGTATTAAGGACGGAAATAAAAAATAAAAAAAATATAGAAATTACCTAGATTTTTTTCGAAAAAAAATTTTAAAAAATCTTAGAAGGCTATGTTTTGGTACTAGGCATAACTTTTAATTCCAAACAACTTTTCTTTATAACATTTTTCTGAATTTTCTAAAATAAGAGTACTTTACAGTACAATTTTGATATTGTTTGAGCTGTTGTATGCTGTTTGACTTGCAACCATTCTAAGTGCACCTAATATGATTATCAGACATGCACCAACTTTTGGCCTTGTTTGTATTTGGGTTGTGCTATTACTAAAAAAAATCCCCATATGTTGCACACTTAAAAAATCACACTGTATAATAAATATATAAAAATCTGTCACCGTAATGTTTATTAAATATTTTTTTGAAAATATTTAGTGCTATTGGAGTACCTATCTGAATAAAAGGTAGTTTATATGGTGGTTGATATTAGGGGCTGTTTGGTGGAGTCATTTTTTTTTGTGTGGCTACTAAGCTGATGTGAATATGGGTGATTTTAATGCCTGCATCCCGTTCGAAAATTTGCAGAAGAAAAAAATTGATTTACATGAAGAATTTTTTTTTAATGATCTCAAATTTTCTGGCTTTTAAATAAAAGATTGACATTGATAAATAATTCACCCATGAAAAATACCAGATGCTTTTCAATAGCTGAAAAAGTGGGGATGGGTGTCAACTTCCAAGACAAAATAAAAGAACCTTCCGCGAGTTCCGCGTTTACTTTTTGTCTGGCAATCGAGAAAATAAAAGGTTTTGTGGTAAAAATATTGCTGAAAAATCGCCAGACGATATTCACAGTTGGAAATCGAGTTTTCCGGCGAAACATTCTTTGGACATTTCGAACAGGGAACAGGCATTAAAACCACTTATATTCTCATCAGCTAACTAGCCACATTCATCCCTCAAAATGCCAGACAAAAAAAAATACTCCGCTACAGGCCCTATCTCAGGGTCTCTTATACCTATACTAGATATGCCAAAAAGCAACAAGTGGCATGAAAAGAAAGATTGATAATCATGCAAAAAAAAAACTTGGGAAATGGAAAATTAAACCTTAAATTTTTTTTATGGAGGGACTAGTCAAAATTCAATCTTGGTTTACTTACTTTGTACTTCTTTGACCAGTTCCTCTTGGTTTGAACTTTAATCCACCATGAATGCAATTAAATCGAATTTCATAATATTTAAGGTCTATGTTACAGCTTCGCGTAATTCCTATCTTCTTTGCTCCATTCAAAGTTCTTGAATTATGAAACCAAAACTTTTGCTTTTCTATACTTTCATATCTCTTCAAGCTACTTTGAACGTCTAGAAAGCTTGAAATTTTTTTACCAAGAATCATAAGTTCTTCGTTTACATCACCCATGGTGTTGGCTGTTGGTGACGTGATATGTTTTATTACTTCTAAAAAAACACATTTTTTTTTTATATTGGTAGGTATATTGTCAACCCTACATGGGACCACGGGCTATAACCAAATTCAAAACACTGAACCACGGGTTATAACAAATAACTGCAACTAAGCAAGAAAACACAAATTATCCTAATCATAGTCAGCAAATATTAGATATAAAAGCCCGGGCCACACTATGGCAAACTAGTCGTGTCTCAGCGCTTCGCTGCAATCAGTAGGTGTTTAGAGACGACTCAAAGTTGGGGAACTATCTGGAATCTGGACTGATAAAGTTAATACGCTATCGTATCTCTATCAGGGCAGATACTCTCCGACGACCCAGGCTTTGACCTACAGTGAAAAGGCTTTCTAGATTTTCCTGTAGGGCTGGTTTGGTTGTATAGCTTTGCAGGGGTATACCCGACGTTTGACTGTCCGCCCTTTTTTTGAGCCCGAAGGGACGTTATCTGGTCCCAGATGGCGATGATGTGGTAATAACTAAATATTCATGTTTCCGTAATCTCCGTCCTGTAACAATATATTAGCTATTTAAAACTGTTCTGGTGTTTCCCTGTTACTCCTCCCTTCCCGTTCTGCTTTTCAGGGTGAATAGTCGAGCTACACAGCGAAGCAGTGACGTTTCGTGACAATATTTATTAAAAGACGTGTTACTAGAGAAAATTGCAACGTTCTATATGATGTAAATGCTGTCAAACCAAAAAATAACATCCATTATAATATTAATAATATTATAATTCGAAAGTTCATTGACATGTCGTATTGTTCTAATTTAGTTTCCTAACATAATTGTTATAGCTTGGAAGATTACAATTATTTTAAACAGCTGAGAGCTGCTTATAAGGTTCAAGCAGAAAGATGTTATTTTGATTATATTGAGAGAACTGAGCATAATGTATTAAAAGATCCCAAAAATTTCTGGAAATATATCCATTCTAAAACTCATTCTAGAGAGTTGCCACCCACACTCCATTATCAGGGGGGCGTGGCGTCTGATGGTGGGGCATTGCAAATCTCTTTGCAAGGCACTTTGCATCGGTCTACGCGTCTGCTACGGGTAATGTGAGCAGTTGTGAACTTGTTGCTTTTCGAGACATGGTACATATCAATAAGTTATCTATTAACATTGGTGAAGTTTTCAATAAGCTGAATCACATCAATGTAAATAAAGGTCCAGGACCTGATGGAATACCTCCAACATTTCTTAAGAACTGTGCACTAGCCTTATCTAGACCCTTGTAGCTGTTATTTAATAAATCATTGTCTGTTGGAGTTTTTCCAAAATATTGGAAACTATCTTTTGTATGTCCGATTTTTAAAAACTCTGGCAACAAGGAAGATGTTGAGAATTATCGTCCTATTACACTATTGTCTCATTTCCCAAAAATATTTGAATCACTGGTAAACGATTTTTTAACTGAAAAACTTAAAAATATAATAATTCCAGAACAGCATGGTTTTACCAGTGGTCGATCTATAACAACAAATTTGTTAGTGTATGAACGAGCCATATTGGGGGCCTTGGAGGCCGGTCAGGTTGTAGATTCTATCTATACCGACTTCTCCAAGGCCTTTGATAGGGTGAGTCATGCATTGTTGATAGAAAAACTTTCCAAATATGGTGTATGTGGTTCACTTCTTCAATGGCTGTATTCTTATCTTGTAGACAGAAGCCAGATTGTAAAGGTGAAGTCATTTCAATCTGAGGTTATTAGTGTTACTTCTGGGGTGCCTCAGGGGGGTCATCTTGCACCACTCCTGTTCTGCCTATTTATCAATGACATAGGGTCTTGCTTCCATCATGTCCAATTTTTATTATATGCTGATGATTTGAAAATTTTCAAGAGTATAAATCAAGAAGGCCCAGACAGGGGAATGCAGGATGATCTTCTGAGGTTCCATGAGTGGTGTGTTGAGAACGAGATGACATTGAATGGCAAGAAATGCAAATATATTCAGTTCTCTAGGAAAAATTCTCCCAGACTAAAAGACTATTACATAAATGATAATGTTATTGAAAATGTTTCTAGTATTCGTGACCTATAGGTGTTGTATTCGATGCAAAATTGTCATTTTCTGAACACATTTATGCATGTTGTAATAAAGCATTGAACATGTTGGGTTTTATCAAAAGACACACAAGAGACTTTAAGAATGTTTCTGCTCTCAAGTGTTTGTATGTGTCATTGGTTCGTTCCCATCTTGAAAATAATAGCTGTGTGTGGTCACCACATTATAAAATTTATGTTGAATTAGTTGAACGTGTACAGAGAAAATTCTTGAGATACATAGGGTACAAAATGGGAATACCTTCAGATTTTATTGATCATGGTCAGCTTTTGCAGAATTTGTCATTGGAAACATTGGAGCATAGGCGTAAAAAATTTGATCAGTTATTGATTTTTAAGTTGCTCAGAGGTTATCTGAATTGCCCTGAGTTGTTCTCGGCTGTAAACTTGAATGTCCCAGTGAGGAATTTTAGAGCTGTGCGCTGTTTTTCGTAGGAGAGACATCATACCTCTTATGGCCAACACACAACCATTAATCGGGCTATGTCTTATGCCAATGAGATACAGGTGGACATATTTGCTGCGTCTTTGCACCAAATGAAGCTATCACTGTGATATTGTTTTGTAATCTAGTGATTTACTCTGTGATCTGTTTTTTGTTGTCCTTTCAATTTTTTAATTTAGAAATAATTTATTGTACTCTTTTTAAAATTTTTATTTATATGTGGTTTGTTATTAGTATTAATATTATTATTATGGCAATATTTGTAAAATTGGGCCGCCGCCAGTTGGAAGTAAAAATAGACTTATCAGCATATCAGCAAAAAACTTGGTGCAACGACCCAAGTTTGAGGAATCAATAATTTCTTGCTGACAATAGGAAATCGACTTGGATCAATGATTCGATTTTCCTAGTCAGTTGGGTCTTAAAGCTGAAGCAGATAACAAAGCTTGAGCCGAACTTAAAGTTATAACGTTACAGAAAGATGGATTTCCAGCGGTAAGTCATTTGTCAATTTGTAAACTCATCATTTTAAATTAATAAAATTATTCATGATACTTTACCTTATTTGGGGCTACAGTTGAAACAGTTGCCATATCCGGGAAGATTACTCAAATTCAATTTGACATCCCTTAACCTTCGTCTTCCCACGATGAAAAAAAGTATGTGGATTCCCACATGGGGTTCATTCGCACCCCATGATAAAAATGATACTTCTGATAATTAAAGATGTTTTTATTTATACTAAACAGTTATTATAAATAAAATAAACCTATAACAAGAGACAAAAGTACAGTTAGCGAAAAACAATAATAAGGAATTGGTATTTTTGACCATTGCGTACAATCTCTCGATTTATAAATCAGATTCCGCCTTCTACTTCTCGTAAAGTCAAACGGGTATCCGGAGTGAAATTTCAAGCGCATTTACTTTTCCAGATAAATATAATATACAACTCGTGCAATGGAAATATATCTATAGTTTTTGACAAATTAGCACTCATGCGTTTTTAACTGAAAATGGCACTCATGCTTTTTTTCAACTAAAAATGCATTCAGGCAAATTTCCCAAAAATCATCGATAATTTCCATTGCACTCGTTATATTCCTATTGAATATAATTTTCATCCAAAACCACTACCAAACCCGCATTGAAGACTTATTTCAGTAACTGGTCAATAATTATCCTTCTAAGCTCGCTAGTGGCAGCTTTGGTATGTTGTAAGTTTATTTGGATTCACTTCACAAGTGAAGTGCCTCTGTTGAGGCTGATGGTTTTTGGCTTCTATTTCTTCAATTTTTTATTGAACTAATTTCATCTATACGTCTACTCAAAGCAGAAGCAAGTTTTTTAAATATATGTAAAGTCTCTACTGGTGTTCGACCAAACTCATCGAGTTCACTATTTTTTATGGAACTATTTGATTCAACTTGCTTTTCCAACTCTTTCATATGAGCTTGAAGCACTAAATATCTAGCAGTTAAATCGAGATTTTCAAAATTTTCTACTGTCATGACTTGATCCTGTTCTTTTTTTGTTAACATCCTTGGGCAAGCATCTAAAGGTTTCAATAGCCCTAGTGCTACACATCTATCCAAATTAATATGGTTTTCATAATTATTTATCTGTGTAGTTTCTGGTGTGGTTGAAGATTGTATGTAGGAAAATAGGGGAGGCTCCAAAACCTTGCATTCAGTACTTCTATAATCATATTCCTTTTTGTACTTTGGATCACAAACACACTCCTCTTCTTCAACTACTCGTTTCACAGGTGTCCTGGCTAATAGTAGCAATCTTTCATAAGCATTTTTTAGATTGTCTTGTAGCTCTGGCTCATGTGTAGTTTCTGGATCACCTATATCCTGTATTTCAAACACTTCCATATTATCATCTAGTATCCTGTTGCCTTCTGTTTCCATTGGTTCAGGTCGAGGTTCAGGTTCAATCTCTGGTTCAATGTTTCTTTCACTAGTATCATTTTTAGCTGAATCAGTATCTTTTTGCGTGTCATTTTTTGGTGATATCTACAAATTAATTTTAAATGCTTTTTCTCTTACTTAGGGCAAAAATTGCTTACCATATCTTGTAAATCTAATGTTCCATTTTCAAACTTCTCTAAAAGTTCCTTATATTCCCAATTAAAATTAAATTTCAAATTATCTTGTCTTGTTTGAGTTTCAGGTAAGGGTGCTGCTGCTACAGCAGTCGATGGTACCTTCATTTGTGTGCAATTTAGAACTTTTGTCTGTGCTGTTAAAAAGTTCAATTTAAATTCGAGTGGTTCCTTGAAAGGGAACTCCCCATGTTCTTCGTTCGGGCCTTTTTCAAAAAAAAGATTGGTGCCTAAACTGTAATCGTAGGTACCTAAAAACAAAGATAAATAAATAAGCAAACAAAATTTGTTTGTTAAATAGGAATCGAAATGAATAATACAAACCTTCAAATATTATATCGTTGACTTGCACAAGAGGATTTTTATCTTCCAAGTTTGCTATTCGAATAAAAACTTTATCTTTTATTATTTCGTTTGAGAGTTTATCATTAAAGTCTAGAAATACTAATTTGTCTTTTTCAGTATTTTCATCCATGATTCTCAGTAGATTAGTTTTTTCGCCCTGATTTGACTACGACTACGATGATGATGATGATGATGAGTATGTTATGTTCTTCCTTATTCTTGTTCCAAATTTTTATGGCCCCCTTGTCGAAAACAGTCAGCCTTGCTTTATTTCTTTATCTTTATTTATATGTTTATGTATGTATGGATTTGGATTATTAGGTTAGGTTAGGTTTTGTTTTTTTTTTGGCCCTGGCTAAAGTAACAAAAACAATCAGCATAGGGATAACAAACTATCGATAGGAATATCGATACTATCGATATTTTTTAAATTTTCGATAGTATCGATAGACCTGTACCACAGCCTACCAATATCGATAGTTCCAAAGTAGCCAAAGTTAAATGAAGACATCTGTAAATTGAGGGGAATATAAAGAAATCTGTAGCTGTTTTGAGAAATCTGTAATTATTTTTTGGGTGTAGATCATGGGTAGACATGCAAAATAGGTTGTACCAGATTCAGTAAAAATGTACCAGCTTATAATGCGCATGCGTTTCCTGGAAAATGAGGATTATTTTTGATCCAATAGGAAAGCACGTTTTGTTTTAATTTGATGAAAAGTGGAAACCTAAACTTAACACAAACTACGAACTACGTCAACCAAGAACCACAAAACGAGGGTTACATTGGTGGCGCCATCTATTTACGAATCAGAAATTATTGTTACATCGAATTTAGATACAGAAATACAAATTAATTAGAACATCGACATTAGACTAAGTAGGCAGTAGGCTAAGACTGAAAATTTAGAAAGAATAAAGAAATTGAAAACTGTACCTGCCAACGTCGTACCAGCGTACTTTTTCAAAGCGAATGGTACCAAATCTGGTACAATTATATCACCTCTGGCAACACTGGTTGGATTTTGAGTTTTTGAGTCCTATTTTCTTTAAACAAAAAAATATACATTTATTTTTTGATTAATTGTACCAAAGCAAACTATCGATAGGACAATCGATGGTTACTATCGATAGATAAGCCATTATATCGATATCACTATCGATAGTTTTTTTTTCGATAGTTTGTCAACCCTAAATCAGCAGGCTAACTTGAGTGACAGCCCGTGTAATAAAGTACAGTGGCTAAATAAACCTTTACATACAGTGGCGACAATAGAGAGGAACGGCTAATTGTAGCGCAAATGAGTACAGCGTTGCCGTTCCCTCTCCAGCTGGCGGGTATTTAAAATAGAAAATAGAATTCTATTTCTATATTATTCAAGCATTGAAAATAGAATTCTATTTCTATATTATTAAAGTATAGGGCAATCCAAACAAAATGGTGGTCAATGCCTGGCCAATGCCAAAAAATTGGCGCCATAAATTTAATTCAAGCAATCGTGACATTTTTCATCAAAAAACTGTTTTTTGTGTATTTTGTGGTGCTTTTAGATGATTTTCTAGTGTTTGAGAGGATAATTTTCGTATTATAAGATGGAAAGTTTTTAGTTTAAGAAATTATTAGTAGAAAAAAGGTATTGGCCTCCATTTTAAATTCCATTTTGACAGGGTCGTTGGATTGCCCTATTGAGTGAATTGAGGTGTGGTGTTTTGTTTATTTTAAAAATGGAAAATTTTAACTTTCAATATTTGATTAGTTAAATAATAATTTACCTACTTTGAAAATTGAAAATATCAATTACATGCATAGGTACATAGGTACTCATATACATACCTATATGAAAGAAACACAATCTTATGTGAAAAACTGGTAAGTTCACATGGTTTTGTTTTTTGATTGAAAATCCAAAACTTATACTTTTTTCTCTCTAGCTAGGTGGTTGTGATCTTTACTTGAGATAATGGACCCTTTTCGGAAATATCGGAGTTCTTTTTATAGATAGCTATATTCATCTTCATGTAGATTCTAGCAATACTTATAAAAATAATATGGCTCTTCTTGATGTGTATTTCTTTTCCACATTCTATTATTAAATAAAAACAAATTACAATAGGTACTTAATTGTTTTAATAATAATCTGGCATTGTTGAGTCAGTGTCCTATAAAATCTATGGTCCCATTCCTACTTATACCTATTGATAAAATGTGTGCGGGTAGGTACATGAACTAAATAAGCTTTTTATTTAAAACCAAAAGGTCCCAATCTTACCACAATACAGTTAAGTGAATAATGTTATGAAAAAGTGAAATTGAGAAACATAAAAAAAAAACCTTTTCTTAAAGCCAAACCGCCTGCCATGGTTCATTACGCCATCATAAATGAACAACCCCTGAAACATCTCATACCTATATCCTGTTCACAATCCGATGTCCACAGGTGCAGGTAAATTTATCACCTTCCCTATCAAATAGCATTGAAAGGTGATTTTACCTGTACCTACCTTTGGACATCGGATTGTGAATGGATAATATATTTTTTTTTTCTACAACTGTCAAAAAATGATGATGTTCGCACACTCATAACAGTTTGCGAAGTTAATTACAACTTTTTTTCCCAGGTATTGATTTTTTAACGTTCCCATGACACCAGTGTGCGAACTAGCTATTTCGCACCCTAGTGTGCGAAATAGCTAGTTCGCACACTGGTGTCATGGTGACACATACCTGTCAGGATGCCAAAAATAATTAAAATTCACCTGCCTTTGATTGGAAATGCAATTTTGGCTTCGAATGATCGATATTTGAATGGAGTTGTAGAAAAAATATTGTTTGCAACTCGGGCGCGAAATGTTTTTGGTGATCTTGAATGATTTTTTGACTTTGCTACTTGTCGTCAAAAAATTTTCGTTCTCGATCACCAAAATGACATTTCGCGCACTTGATACAAGAATAACTATTTTATAGGTACCTACAAAAATATCAAATAATAGATAACAATACATAAGGTCTGTTTTTTTTTAAAGATAAAGTCATAATGACATTATGTTGGCCATACAATGTAAAATTGTCAATGCTTTCAAATGTTTTATGTAGAAAAGGCTTGTGTTCCCAACATTGTTACTAAATTTTTGATTTGAGGAATTATCTTTAAAAAAGAAACAGACTTTAGTTATCAACCACATACCATCAGATATTGGAGCATGTTAATAGTTTCAGGATAAGATACCTCCTTATTATAAGTACATATGATCGCTTTTTGGTGTTTCAGAAATGTAAATACCTTGGGACAAGGTATTTTTAATTATCTCTGTTTCCTCAAAATTAGGTTTACTGATCGTTTTTTCACCTTTGATTATTTTTTTCTTGGTAGAAAAAAATCTCTGCTTTTCAATTTTTTTATTTGACGGAAATACTGAAGTTGGCATAAAATGATCTAAATTTTCTGTGGTTGATGTAGTTGTTATCGCTGATGTACCCAAGCTATTTAACATCTTTAAATTTCTGATCAAGTGTATTTGTTCTTCCTCAGTATAATTCAAAGAATTTAAATTTGTCAGTAACTGCGAGGCTTCTGATCTGATAATATTTAATTTATCAGGTTTCGATTTAGTTATAGCAATTGGAGATTCATTTGATATATCAGTCACTAATTTTTTCACTTCTGATGTATCAGTAACAGACATAATAATACTTTCATCATTATTCGTATTACTAAACCTAATATTAAAACTATGTATATGTTTGCAAATTGTTGACCTGATAGAATAATCTATACAGGAACACTCAAAATTATGTACACAAATATTACAAAAACTACAAACTAGCGCACAACAAATATTATCTTTAACTTTCTTTATGGTATATTTAGTATTATTTTCTTCATTGAATATTTCATATATATTATCTTCAATTAAAGAAAAATTATAGGATTGTGTGATAGCTGCTCTGTGTCTGTTCTTAATCCTATTCAGATGTTCATTGCATTTTCCCTTGGTCAGTTTTATAATCCTTTCAAAAACCTTGTCTCGTATATATTTATGTAGTGCATGAAGTGCCTTATCTAGCCTTTTCGTTTTCTTTCCCTCCAAATAAATATATTTAATCACTTTATGAAAACTTTCCAAATGCATATTAGTGTTAATTCCTGCAGATTTCCGGTAGCAATAAGCCCACTGTCTTCGGTTATAATAATAATTACTTTTTAAATAATCCCCCATATTTTTTGTTTCTAAGTCATTATTTAGAAGTTCCAAAAAAGCATCCAGCTCCTTCTCAAAAATGTCTTCTTGCAAACATGATTGGAGATACTTGAGAGTTTTATATACCCAGCTTTTTTTTTCTGGCACAGAAACCCTATTCAAATTTTGCTGCCACGCTCTGTCCACATGCCATGAACAATATAATTGTTTATTAGGTCTACCCATTATAGCGACCCAGGAGTTGTAATAAACAGTGGCCATATCGGACATAAAAATATCACAAACAGGAATATTGATGTTATCAGGAAAAACAGCGTCTTTCATAGAATTGAAAAAACATTCATAAATAAATGTATCTCTTCTATTGGTAAACATAAATGCTACCGGAAATCCTTCTCCAAATTCATCCACAACAAGAAGTGTAGTAAGCTCAAAATCATAAGCATTCATACCGTGAGTACCATCAATGCAAACCAAGGTACTGCCAAATTTTTTAAATATTTCAATTTGTGTTTTGCTCATAATAATTAAACAAAAATCTTTTGGATTCAAGTTATAGACACTGGACAATTCTCCTTGAGGTTTAAAGAACAACACGGGGCTGCAACCACTTCTCTTACATTCCTGAACCCACAAATTCACACTTGTAGCATCATCCTGATGTCGACACCCTTCATTAATATCAATTTTGTATGATATTTTTATATTATTAATATCCTTTCGGGTTAAAATGTCATCTCGGTTCAGGTTCTCCGCTATATTTCCTCTTGTGTGATCTAAAATACTAATAAAACCAAAATAAAATTTTATAAGCAGGTTGTCTTGATTTTAAAAGAAAACTTAAGCAAAAAAAACTGGAGACGAGAAACAGAAAAAATCAAGACATGATAGTAATTTAACGATGAATAATTTATTTAATATTTTTTTTTACGGAAATAGTTTTTCTTTGAAATTTTCCTGAAGCCAGAGAGCTATAGTTTATTATTATTATATTAATACATAGGTACCTATCAATTTTTGAGCACGCCATAGAAACTTACCTAGTTTTAGAAACCCCCATCATAAGTTTCAAAGATGTTTCTTTCCTACATATCTTAGAAATGCGCAAATGTTGGATATCTTCCTGGTGGCTATAATGAGTGGAAAAATATTCAACAAAGCACACATCTGAAGATACGT